AGTGAAACATCATAACTCTATTTCTCCAACCTTAGCCTTTTGGGTTTTGGCTCTCGACAATTGCAGATAAACTTTTTTGAATTACAACAACTTACATATTCAATGAAACATCTGAATCTTGCAATTAAAAAGCATGGTTTTCAAGATTTTTCTCTGTGCTACAAATCTGCAGAGACTACTTAACATCTCAAAAGCTAAGAGTTTCACTCATTTTTAGTTTGAGAGCAGTTCATATAAAATCCCCCATACTTGATGGTAGGAAGAAGGGTAGGGATAAAAACAATAGAAAAGGCCGGGCGCGGTGGCTCAAGCCTATAATCCCAGCACTTTGGGAGGCCGAGACGGGTGGATCACGAGGTCAGGAGATCGAGACCATCCTGGCTAGCACGGTGAAACCCCGTCTCTACTAAAAAGAATACAAGAAACTAGCCAGGTGAGGTGGCGGGCGCCTGTAGTCCCAGCTACTTGGGAGGCTGAGGCAGGAGAATGGCGTGAACCCAGGAGGCGGTGCTTGCAGTGAGCTGAGACCCGGCCACTGCACTCCAGCCTGGGTGACAGAGCGAGACTCTGTCTCAAAAACAAAAAACAAAAAACAAAAAAACAATAGAAAATAAATGCATGCTGTCCTCTTTCTTTATTTCTCCTTGTCTGTCTTTAGAAGAAACACTAAGTTACACTTACAGAATAGAGAGAGTCTTCCTATGTGGTCCAGTCCCATTTATCATCCTCTTTTGTGAATTGTGAATGTATATTCATTTCTACAACTTCAAATAGCTTCCTAAGTACGTATGTCTTTTTTGTTTTGTTTTCCCTGGTCTGTAGGCTCATTAAGGTCAAGAATAATTCTACTTCTGTAAACTTCACTCTGTCTGTAATGATTTGCTTATGATTCACTGGATTGGAACCTTCTTGCTTCTTGATGTCGTGATGGCTAGTGGGGCTGTTTTCTCTATATCCAGGGCAGGCCTTTCTGCCTTGAAGTACTGGAAGGACATTCTGATTGCAACAGGAATTTCATGTGTCCAAAAGAGACACACAGCCATATAAAGAAATGTAGAAACAAAAATCTCTTTTTATCACTGCTTCTGTGTTTTTACTTCCTTCCCATTTTCTATTAGAGTCTAACAATATTGTGGCTGGAAAAGAACTTCAAATGCAACCTCGTCATTCCACAGATGAAGAAACTGAGGTTGAGGGAAGTAAAATGACTTGCCCAAAGACACGCAGCCCTTTAGCAGTGGTGTGGAAACCTGAGTTCTTGGCATGTGATTCCCAAGTCACCTGTCTATTGGGCCATGCCCGTCGTTCAGAGTTTGTTTGGTTGATAAGACAACATCAATTTGTACATTAGAAACGTTATTTCTAAACTGATGTTAATTGCTTCCTGGCTTTTCTAAGAAGTAATGAATGTTTGAGTTTCCAGGCAAAGGAAAGCCTCTTTGCACGATTACAAAAATAACCTAATTAAAGAGACTTTTGCAAATCACTTGCTAAATAAGTTGATCAGGCTACAGAAGAAATAGAACTGAAGACACTTTGAAGCATCTGATAATATGCCAAGGAACACCAAGGAAAGATAAATACTAAAGTTGAGGGGGTTATCAAACGACAGTAATTTCTTGGTTCCTGTGGCTGGTAAACTCATCAGGATGCTTTCGTGTTTTAGGTTGAAAAATCGGAATATTTGAATATTTTAAGTCTAAACCCTCCATTCAGTTGAAAAACTGGGGAGAAAGACAATTCTGGTCAAGTTAAATTAAAATATTTTAGTTGCTAGGGGGAAATACAGTAACTTTATTCCATCATCCTGGCCTTACTCATTTTTGTGTCTATCTGGATGTATGCATTGCAACATGGAGACACATTGTTGTGTATTTTGGACCATTAGCCGTATTTGGGCTGACAACCACAAAGTTCAAATTCTGCAGGGTTTCAAATTCACACACTGCATTTGTAATGCTGACTTTCTGTCACAAGGTTGTTCATATCTTGGCAAATAAAAATTCTTAGAAAATGTAAGGTAGAACCCCATTCTCTGTAATACCAGCCTCTGTAGAGAGAATTTTGAAAGCAAAAATGATTTTAATATGCTTGTGCATATGGACATAAAATTCCATAACTGTGAGAAGCATAATGAGATGGTTCCTAAAGGCAAGTTAAAACTGCAGCATCAAGCAGAAATTTTTTTTATTATCTACAAGAGTTAATTAATAATACCATTTGGCACTGTTAGATGTTCAGAAAATAGTCTAATAAGTAAGAATGCTTTGCTTTCCTTTTGTATTAAAGGCTGTTCAGACTCTCTAAATTGCTTACTAGGAAATAGACCTTGTGGTATAAGGGTCACGTGCTTGGAAACTAATTGGGATTCATTGTAGTACTGCATTGCCACAGATGGCTCATACAGAACATAATATAATGCCAGTCAAATGCAGTGAGGTATTTGGAAATAATTTTCCTTGGATAGGTTTATAATCATATGCTCCAGCTGATTTTCCCAATGGCAAGATTCCTATCCACCATGTATTCCTTAAATAGCTCCAATTTTGCTGGAAAAACTTTGTAAAATAAATTCAATTTATAATTTTAGTCTAAAACAAAGTAAAATAAAAAGCTTAAATTTTTTTTTTTTTTTTTTTTTTTTTGAGACAGAGTCTCACTCTGTCACCCAGGCCAGAGTGAAGTGGCACGACCTCGGCTCACTGCAAGCTCCACCTCCCGGGTTCACACCATTCTCCTGCCTCAGCCTCCAGAGTAGCTGGGACTACAGGCGCCTGCGACCACGCCCAGCTAATTTTTTTTTGTATTTTTTAGTGGAGATGGCGTTTCACTGTGTTAGCCAGGCTGGTCTCGATCTCCTGACCTCGTGATCCACCCGCCTCAGCCTCCCAAAGTGCTGGCATTACAGGCGTGAGCCACCGCGCCCAGCCTACAGCTTAATTTTTTTCCCCCTTATTTCATTAGGTTAGAAGCAAACTTATTAGAAAACAAATTAGACAACACTATGTTTCATTGCTGTTGATGCATTTGTTCAATCTTTGTTTGTTTATTGATTTATAGAGATGAGGTCCCACCAAGTTGCTCAGGCTGGTCTTGAACTCCTGGGCTTACAGGTGTGAGCCACCACACTCGGCCACTTGTTCAACCTTTTACTGTCTCCCTGCCCTCTCCTGAGCTTGAACAATATTTTTCAAAGTATAATCCACAATCTGTTATTATTTAACAAAAATTCGGATTAGCTCAACAGCTAATCTGAAATAAAATGAGTAAAACCACTATATTCAAACTAGTTTTAATAAAAACTCATGTTTACTATCTAGTTTTAAATAATGCAACTATTTAGGATTGTTGGGGAAAAAAATGTAAGAAAAGCTATTAAAAAACAAAAAACAAACAAAAAAACCCGCTTGTATTGGAGATTCTTTTAAGAAGGAGTCATGTACGTGACTTAATCTGGGAAAAAACTGCTACATTCAAGCTAATTTTTATGAAAACTAATGTATACAACTAGTTTTAGGCATTCACTTTCAGGCTTCATTACAATGAAATGATTGCTGGACTCTTCTACTGAGGAGAAATGTCGGGAGGTAGAGCCTGTAAACAGTAGTTTAGATAATTTTCCCAGGTGGTTCTGATTTACACCAAAGTATGAGAACTAATAATGTAAACATAAAGCTTAAAAGTTGTTTTTTTTTTTTTTTTTTTTTTCCCTTTCACGTTCAAGTCTTTTGTTCTACAGTTTGCTTGAAATGCAGTGGTTCCTGGTAGGATCACTGTGGTCTTAGCATCCATCGACATGATGGCAAGAACTGGTTGAGAATCAGTATAAAAGGAGAAAGAGAAGAGTGTGGGCTGGGCGTAGAGGCTTATGGCTGTAATCTCAGCACTTTGGGAGGCCGAGGCAGGTGGATCACCTGAGGTCGGGAGTTTGAGACCAGCTTGGCCAACATGGCAAAACCCCTGTCTCTACTAAAAATACAAAAATTAGCCAGTTGGTGGTGCACGCCTGTAATCCTAGCTACTTAGGAGGCTGAGGTAGGAGAATTGCTTGAACCCAAGAGGCGGAGATTGCAGTGAGCCAAGATGGCACCACTGCACTCCAGTCTGGGTGACAGAGAAAGACTCCATCTTAAAAAAAAAAAACAAACAAAAAAAAACAAAAACGAGAAGAGTGTGAAGAAAGTAAGTACTCGAGATGATGAATAAAGATTTCTCCAGGGAGGAAAGGGTACAGAGAGAGCAATAAACTGTCTACTTGATAATTCTGAGATGGTCTAGCTCTATAGTTTTACAGCTAATCATGAAGATTATCAATTGAATATCATAAAATTTCCATCTCAAAGATGTGCAGTTTTTCCCTGAATTCTCCGTGGAAAGGGTCTGTCACATTGAATGCCAAACATGTGTTATACATATTGCATAGGATTAGTGACTCTACCTCTGCAATCAATCAAGCAATCAACAGCAATGATTTATTGAGTTCTAATTATATATATAAGTTTGTGCTTTAGCTTATTGGTTCTCAGCGTTTCCAACACATTAAAATCAACTGGGCATCTGAAAAAATTACCAATGTCATGCCCCAACTAATTAAATTAGAATTTCTAGAGACGAGGTCCAGAGTTTTTACTACAGATCTTCACATATTACCAATTTGGGTCCTTCTTCTAAGTGCAGTGACCTCTGCCATTGATTTATGATGCTTGTATAAGAAAAACTGCTCTTAGAGATAGAGCTTGAGCCTCTAAATTAGAAAACCAATTTTTTAAACCAGATTCCATTTTAAGATGCTTGATAAATTTTAGTTACTGCCCATGTGACCAGAGAACAATACTTAGTTTCTCCAGAAGGTACCAACAATTGTTAACTGATATATATTAGCAGGACTTTTATTAATTATTTCATTTTCTCTGCCATAATTTTATTTAATTATCATAGTAAATGTATAAAGCCCATAATATTACTTTCATTTTACAAGTAAGAAAATTGAGGCTTAGAAATTTACTCAAAAGAATACATAACTATTTATTGAGTGGCTACTATGTGCCAAGCACAATGCAAGATGTTTTGTACACTATTATGGGATGAGAGTCACATGATCACACCTGTGTTCCCTGGAGGATGATCTGTGGAACACTGGTCTGTCAAGATGCTGTGCGGAAAAAAAATCTGCAATCTAACAGGCTTGAGAAGTGCTGAATACTTTTCTGCTTTGTTGAAAATTCTCAATGCACAAAAACTTGTGATGCACACTGAGATAGCATGTAGTAAAGGAACATTTAGAGTGACGCTCCATGGGTTATTTTACTATGAAAATTTTATTTGAGAAACATTTGCCAATTGAACCCATTTTGAAAAACACCCCTACAAAACTTTATGTTCTAGAAATTTTGTCCCACTGTTACATATCAAGAAATCGAGACTAAGAAATTTGGTAACTTGCCTACAGTCATTTAGCATGTGGCTCTGCTAGAACCTGAATCTAAGTTTGGCTGTTTTAGAAAATTTTCTTCTGCTTCTAAAATCTATAACTGCAGGCCAATGACTGATACCTATTTCTCTGTTAGTAAAGCTGAATTAAAATTTTTGAAAGGATCAAATGTAATGTTGTATGTGAAAACATTTTAACTATAAAATAGTACATAAATACCAGAATTAGGTAGCATACAGTCTAAAGTAGTATAGAAATATTAACTTTTGAAAGAGATAATTTCTCTGTCCAAATCTCTGAATTACACTTTTAAGTAATAATCTCTGCAGAAAGTTAAGTTTCGTTAGTTACTGTTAATTTTGATTGTCAATACTTCATCAATCACACTTGAACTCTTTTGGTAGCATTTTTGGTTTATTAAATTGTCTTTGGGAGAGTAAACTTACGAAATTTGTGGTTTCTATATACTGAATCCATGAAATATGAAACTAAGAATAATGTCATATTCATCCCAACATCTGATTCTATTGATTATGAAAATGTGAACTCTGACCTGGGACAAATAGTGTGTTGCTTCTAGTTTAATAATAATAAAACAATGTTAGTGTAATTTATGATATTTTCTTCTGAGTACATTTCTTTAAAGAAGGAAGCAAAGCTGAGAAACAATTAGGACAAGAGTCAACTAGTCAACTTTCCTGAATATGCTTTACTGGAGAAATATACGGTTGATTGGAGAGGCCTGTGGTTTCCAAAACTGGGAGCCATTTAAAGCTAAGCAAAGAGAAGGTAAAATGCTATATGATTGCACAGATGGCATATCTCTACTTCAAGGAATGTGCTTTAGGGGATTGCTTGATGTGTCAAAAGATAATCCCATTAAGAAAAGAGTAAAGACCAACTGATCCCATATTTAGAAAAGATGAAACACATCTTCAATTCTCCTATTCACTAGGGAGGAGAAACGAGCCCAGAGGAATCATCAGATATTCTCTGTCACAACAAATGAAATATGCAATAGGTTTTTTATGTCACCTGGTTGAGTTAGCATGGGAATTATTTACAGCACTTTGAATGAAGATGGAAAATGAATCTACAGAGATCTGTAACTAATATGTACGGACATTCTTTCCTTTATTTTTTCCTTCTTGCCCTTTTCCCCAGAATACTTGGAATGAATTAGTAATGATGATGGATCCAAAGAAATAACTGTGAAAGTGGTGATGTTCAGGAAAGGTTGCTCCAAGAACAACCACTCTATCTAGGGTAAGTGGGAAGGAAGTGAAATAACATCTCGTAGAAAGATGTTCATCAATGCAAAGTGAGTGGTAAATGGAAATGAATTAGTACATAGCTTAGGACTTTGCTGGGATCTTCAAAGAAGTACTATACAGCTTGAAAAATATCACCGTTCCTTCAAGACTCAGAACCTACAGAAGACTGTTAAATTCTACAAGTAAACGTTATTTGAGAGTTTGAGGTTAATGAATTTCTGTCCGGGAATTATTCTTGACTGTGTTCTGTTTCCATGAGTGATGTTCAATTTAGCTATTGCTCTTCTGTGACACCAGAAGTTTCAAGTTTAGTTTTCTTTCTGTGGATCACAGTTTTTAAATCTTTAAATTCTAAGACATTTTTGAGTCTTTGTGTAAATAATACATTTTAAACCATGGAATCAATTTCAATTAAAAATTATTGTTATGGAGTTATGTGTGTACTATTGAAAAGGTAAGGGTTTCGGGTCGTTTGACAATACGCAGATCTACACAATATATGAACAGGGAGAAGAAAAAAGAGCAGGGAACGAAGTTCACAAAGATGAAAAGAAGTCCACAGAATAAGCATCTTGTTTCCATGCTTTGCCCTGTTGAAATTCTGATCTCCTTTTTCATGAAAGAAGAGTTACTTATTTTTAATGCGTGAAGATAGAACTAAGATGACAAGTGGGACAGAGAAGATTCTTGTAAATACACATTTCTAGAAGTTTATATACTCCTAATATGCCCCTCCTTCAACATACAGTGCAAGTCTCTTTCCAGTGTATTCATTTCAATGTCTAGAATACATGAGTTTTGCTATCCTAAAGGAATAGAGAACTGTGGCTATTTATGCTTAGCAAATACAAATATCAACAACACCAATTAGTGAAAACATTTTCTACTGGGCACACTTCTTTTTTTTAAAAAAAAACTGATTACACAGTATGAACTGAGGACTGTTTCCGAATCCCTCTCTCCTCTCGAATTAATTTGCCACATTCTAAATCCGTAGATAAAGTGGTTCCAGAAGTGGAGTTGGTTGGATGGGTTTGCTTACATTGCAGTCCATAAAAGAAACAAAAAGCCTTGCATGCAAAAGAAATGAGAAAAAATATAGAAAAATGAATAAATCAGAAGCAAGAATGAATGTTTAAATGAAAATTTACATCACATGAAGCTGGCAACTATGAAAAGCACATTAAAGCATCATATATACAAGCTTTTATTTTTCAAATTAGTTGCATAAAACAAGACACCTCAAGAGCGAATTGAAAGTTAAAGCAGATCAGTTCATTCTCTCTTTTAATTAAAAAAACAGCTTCTTACAACGAGAGCTTAGGAAAGGGGTGTTCATTGTTGTCACAGTTGCCTTATAATTCTGGGGAAGATTTTCATGTGAAACCAGGTTATAATGAATCATTCCCAGTTTTGGGCCCTTAAGGAGGGCTTCTACTTAAAGAAAGTGGATCTATTATCAGATTATAAATCAGAACCAGCCACATAACTTGCAGGGTCCAGTGCGAAATGAAAATATGGGACACTTTGTTCAAAAATTATTTAGAATTTCAAGATGACAGCAGAGCATTAAACTGGCTCTGTCATTAATAGTCATAGTCTTAAAATTCTAACAATATTTAAAAATTGAATCGGGAGCCTGATTCACTATCATGGCCATAAAGCTTTGTATTTTGTTTATTCTAGTGTGGTTATGAAGGAATTATCTTAAATCACAATCAGCTTTTTCAAAACAATATAAGCTGATTTCCTTCAAAACTGGTGTGATTTCCTTCAAAAATAAAAGTAATAGGCAAAAATGGTCAACTACTAGAATTGTCCTATAATCCCAAACACAAAAGTCTCATATACATTGCATTTTCATTTTGCATTATTATATTCCTGGCAAAAAAAAAATTGAGGTGATCTATCCTTTTACAAAGCTTACTTTGATAGAAGTAAGTGTTCAATTTCATACTATGACTTTTACGTATTTATATAAATTTTTTGCATTAGTACATGTGCTCAGAATCTATACTTAAGGGCTGGTAGCCTTTCTGTTAAATATCTTTTCATAGCTTTTCCAATTTGGGATTTATTTTTCCCTTTTTCCATCTAGGGTTTCTATCTTACAAGCAAACAACTGTTCAAAAATTAACTGAGTTTGGAATTTCTGCACTGTCTTTCCAAATAGGGCTAATTGGATTTCGTGTGTAAGCCCCTTCCTTGTCATTAATAAATGATGGACCTGCAGTGCCCACAGCACCTGGCAGGGATTCAATAGCTCTTTGCTCTAACTCAAAAATGGCTCTTCTGGGCATCTAATTTAATAGACTGAAAAAGAGCAAACATCCTTAAAACCCCCAAACTTAAGACACATAATGCAAGCTATAAACTAACCAGTCCTAGAAAGAGATGACTCACCTGTTCAATATCATTATTCTTCCGTGATTTGTATATGAATTCTCCAATAGCTACAAATACAGAAAGGACCAGTCCGGCAGCCAAAACAATGAAGATGCCCCCAATATTTTCCACTCCCAGAGCACTGGCTTCTTTATTATCTTCCTCGGGGCAGCCATTCCCACGCCACCACTTCTCTTTCATCATATGCAGCTTCCCTTCTTCTTGGAGTTGAAGAATAGCAATAGTAATTTTATCCCGGTAAGGAGAACCTGGAAGTAAAGTCATTTGGATATTGATCACCAAAATGTTGAAGAAGACATCCAGAAGTATTCTTAGTTATCGTCTTAGCGATGACGACGTTATGGCTGTTGTGAAACCCCAATCCACAGATTAACTTGCAAAGGGCAGGAAAGTTCAATCCTGTATTTTGAAGGCACTAAATACTAAATAATTGGGAAGGAGATAGCTGACATGTTGAGATTAACTTTGGCCCCGACCGTTTGCTCCTTTTAAATAAGGAGAAGCGAAGCTAGGAATTCTATGACATGTCTTTGTTTCTGGTGAGATCATCATGAGTCTTTTCACATGTCAAGAGATTTCATTGTATAAACTAAAAATAAAATTCTAAGCCCCCATTGACTGAACGACCCTCTTTTGTGACCAAAGGGACCCCAGAAAAACCTCAAAAACTTAGTTAGCAGCCATACCAGGATGGGAGGTCAGACAGAGCAGTCTATTTGTGGCAATAAGATATCAAATTATAAACAGGACCGAAGGCCATGCCAGACAAGGGTTAAGTCACACAGCCTTGGACTTAAAGAATGAACTATGTTCCAACTGCTATAAGGTTTTTCTTTTTCTCAAGGAGGTAAACAAGCACTGGCCTCGAGATAAGCAATATTAAAACAATTACAGCTCATCCAACCCATAGACACTGACTTCCAGCCCCTGTTCCACCAGCTCTACCTTTCATTAAACAAGATCCTGATTTCAGTAACTTTCTCCAGATTAGAAGACCACCGACCTTAGACTGGTTCTGGTTGGATTAAAGAGATTGTGCCCTTGCAAGCTATTGTGTCCTGAAAGACATTTTGATGTATAGAACCTAATTATAAAACATTTAAGTGTTAAGTCTCTACCCCAGAGTGAACATGGATTGTATGTTACGTGCATTTTTGTTCAATATGCACGTGTCAGGATCATCTTCACAAATAATCATAGCTCTGCCTGGAACCAGTTGAATATGTATGTTTAGCCAACCCATTCGGCAAAAAGCTCTTGCCCCAACCCCTCTTTTTTCAAAGTGCCTGTCTTTGATCTTGGTTGGACACATGTTTTCCAGCCTACAGGATGACCACCTTGCAGGTTGTCACTCTTTGCTTATAAAGAAATGAAGTCTCCGTTTCTACTTTTGAAATTTATCGATATTGTGGATACATTTTTTAAGCTAGCAATTATTCAGATCTCACTTTTTTCTAGGCTCTTTGTTGTCTCATACTGTGACTGGGCTTGCCTGGATGACCAGCAGTTCCATTTCTTCTTCTGAGGGGGAGTAACTAGACGTTTCCCACCTCCCTTACAGTTCAGTGTGGTTATGTGACTGGTTTCTAGCCAATAGGAACTAAGACAATGTCTTCCCAACATAATCTTTGCAGATGTTGGTTAGTACATACTGATTAATGCACCTATTAAGATAAACTTAAGACTAGGTTTTGAATAGTTCAAATTTCCTACAAAATTCAGTTAGGTTTGGAAAATTTGCAAGGACTTTATTAATATTATTTGTACTCTATCTTCTAGTAATGCCATTGAACTTTTAATTTTGTAAGAGTTGGAAAGTGCCAATATCTGTCTGTAGACGTAGCTTCTCAACACTGGATTTTGGTTAATCAATGCAAAGGAAGAGGCAAAGTAATATTCTTTTACTTAATCTCTCCTTGAACATGAAGAACTCTTGTTAGCATTTCTTCTATTCAGTAGAAAAGTAGTACACCCTGGCTTTTTCTATTTGCAAACGTTAAAGTCTTTCTTGGTGGAAGCACATTGATAAATGAGGCATCTTAGGACTAGAAGAAATCTTAGGAATGATACAGTTCAGTCCACTTACAGTTCAGTACATATTCCATTTTAGAATGGAAGATATTTAGGAACTGAAAGTATGAGCGAAACTGATAGTTGCTGGCACAGCCAAGAATCAAACTCAAGTCTCCTGACTTCTCACTTTTCATGTTGTTTTCACGACAGTGTTCCCATCCATTGCTCCCACCGCTACATATGCCTTATGTCCTATGGCACGGTTAAGTTAGAAAAACAGAAGTTTAACGTTGGTGTCATTTGTTATTAATTTTCCTCGTAAGACTTCCTAAAATAATCGTCAGCATTCAAAAGCAAGTTTAAAAGAAGAGCAAAATGCTTTGGAGTGAGATTATGGCTTATCAAGAGTATGAATTTTTTTGGTGAAAAAAATGGATATTGAAAACCAAATTAAAAGACCTTGGCCATTTGCTTAAATATCCCTAGAATAACGGCTAGTGTAAAAATTAGCCCCATTGATATACCCATAGCAGGTGAGCAATTAAGTGAAGCACTTTGCTTTAATGTACATGAAAGTGCTTCGAAGAGTGTAACAATGATTCTTATGTTAGTGGTTGCAGTAATAATCCTAGCAGCATACACAGTGGGTGCTCAGTAAATGTTGACTGATGCTTTCCTTCTGCCTCCAGGCTGCACAATACCTAAAACATTTCAGACAAATGAAAATCTGATCTCTGTTTAAAGTTGGTCTCTGAGAAAGATAATTTCCAGCCTCCTAGTAAGCTGTTCAAACCTTAAATGCTCTTGTTCTCTCAGAGTTTTATTTTAAATCTCACAGGAGGTACATTTCCAGAGCTGTTGTCCTGAGTGTCTCCAAGAAGCAAAGTCTTCAATTTTGTGTTGTGACTTTGCCAATATTTGATTATGGGACAGAGCTTGGAGCCATAAGGGAATTAGTCAGGGCAAGACTAGAAGTGTGCAGATAGTTTTTAATATCTGAGTATATTTTAACTTCAGTTTTTTTGTTGTTGTTGCTTAAATGAAGTAAATGACATTGGAAGTTATTTATTATGTCACTTGAAATCTATATATATTTCATACACACACACACACACGTGCACACACACACATCTTCCTGAATAGCAACTGATCTTTTGTAGAGTCAATTCATCATAAAAGAAACGTCTCACAAATTTTTCCAACAGTTGTATTCTCAATGGACATATTCTCTGTGAGGTCTGCCATCTGTTCCAATTATTCCTTCATTGTTTTTAGTTTAAAAGCATGACAGGTTTATAACCACTATGAAAAATTCCTGGAGTATATTTCTTTTCATCTACAAAGTGGGGAAGGCTTTTCAACTTTGGAACTTGGGTGAGGTTGGCCAAAAGGAGACTGAATGGGTACCTTTGGATCTCTCTGTATTATATGTATATTTAATGTTAGTGGTACTCAACACTAGGTCAGCTTCATTCGCATGAAAGCAGGCGGTGATTTTCAAAGTGCTGCATCCATTTAGGAAAGTGGTAGGAAGAAGTGCATTGTTCCCTCCTGCCCCCAGCCCTGTGTCACTCACTGTACTATCAGAAATTTTAACTTTCAAGTTATGTTCCATGCTGTAGAAGGACTGCCAATTAAAAGTCTCATGTTAAAGTGCAAACATTCTCAGGAGGGGTGATACACATTGTTATTTTAAATCATTATTAACAGACAGGAATTTTGGTGCCAAAAAGGGGTGTTGAAATGTGATGGGGTCGGGTTATGAGGTGGGAAAGAGAATGATAAAGGTACAGTTTTTGACTTTATAAAGTTTTTGACTTTATAATTTAGTCTAGAGATGGTTCTATTAAGGAACTATGGTTACTCCTCCATGAGGGTCTTGATTCTGCAAAAATTCAGGCAAAGGTACCTACTCTTGGTGTTCTTGTCTGATTTATGGCCCATTTAACTAAAATCAGCAGTGATGACATATAAAAAATACCGTCTAACTTCCCCCACCTTTATTATCTAAAATGAGGTGGCAAAGCTTGCTTAGGGCAATAGGATATTGTTTTTTTAAAGTCAAAAAGAGGTATAATGTCCTCTTAGCCAGTGCCAAATGATCCCCTGAGCCTCCTGTTGACTAAATTATAGGAGAGCTTACCACTTGGGGAAAAATACACACCTCACTAGCAACATTAGTGTTTTCATCAGGAGAAGTTATTGGAAATAAAGAAGCAAGAAGGTAGCTGTAAATCTTCTAGCCCCATCATTCTGCAGGAAATTTATTTGGAGGACATACATGATAACAATAATAATAAAGTTAATTTCTCCCTAGCACATATTTCTAACACCAGGTAGATAGCAGGAAGTCAAACTGGCTGTATATTCATGGTAAATGTGGAAGATAGTTGAATTTTATCTGATTAGTTATATTCATATTAATTAAAAGTTGAATACATGAAATACAGTTTTTTCTTTTTTAATGAATTTGTTGCTAAATAAAAACATTAGGACAATTCACCTAAAATCTGGATTTTTTTATTTTCTTAGAAAACGGAATATTCCACCATCTTGTTCTCAAAGTCCTACATGTCTACAACCCTCGGACCTGAAAGGCAGCTGTCTCCTTTTGGTAAGTCATGTGGTCTGTAATTTTCCATAATTGCCACTGTTCCCTACTACCTCCTGGCACAAGCATGCTTTGCTCTCTTATGATGTCTACTTGACCTCTGTAAGCATTTCAGTTTGTGATCCCTGCATGATGTTGAGAGTCAAATTGGATCATCCCTTTCAAATGACAAAAATACTAATACAAACAAGCAGATCAAACCTACCTGGGGTCCTTAACGATCTGGCTTGACTGTTAGCTATGATTTCTAGACTAGCCCAGTAGTCTAGACAGTCCCTGATTCCTCTCCTTTGGAATGCTTATTAACAAATTATCAACGGCTTACTCGGGAAGAGCAGGTTCCCGCTATACCAGAACCTTATACGATACAGTTTTCTCTCTTCTTTCTTCCTCCCTCCCTCCCTCCCTCCCTCCCTCCCTCCCTTCCTTCCTTCCTTCCTTCCTTCCTTCCTTCCTTCCTTCCTTCCTTCCTTCCTTCCTTTCTTCCTTCCTTCTTCTTTCCTTCCTTCTCTCTTTCTTTCCTTCCTTCCTTCCTTCCTTCTTCTTTCCTTCCTTCTCTCTCTCTCCTTCCTTCCTTCCTTCCTTCCTTCCTTCCTTCCTTCCTTCCTTCCTTCCTTCCTTCCCTCCCTCCCTCCCTCCCTCCCTCCCTCCTTCCTTCCTTCCTTCCTTCCTTCCTTCCTTCCTTCCTTCCTTCTTCTTTCTTTCTTTTCGCTCTTTCCTTCGAGATGGAGTCTTGCTCTGTCACCCAGGCTGGAGTGCAGTGGCACCATCTCAGCTCACTGCAACCTCCACCTGCCGGGTTCAAGCGATTCTGCTGCCTCAGTCCCCTGAGTAACTGGGACTATAGGCACGTGCCACCACACCCAGCTAATTTTTGTATTTTTAGTAGAGACGGGGTTTCACCATGTTGGCCAGGATAGTCTCGATCTCCTGACCTCATGATCTGCCTGCCTCAGACTCCCAAAGTGCTGGGATTACAGGCGTGAGCCACCACACCCGGCCACGATACAGTTTTCTATAGAGAGGGAAACAATAGAGAGGGAGTTTTCTATGGAGAGGAAATCACTAATTACTCCTTGAATTCTACTCTTGTCTCCTATAGACGTACAAGAATGCATTGCTATATGGGTCTGTATACCTAGGCAATAATATTCCTAGGAGAGCAGTAGCATAGAACTAAGGAATTTGGTTTTACATAGTTGGCATTGATTGAATCTGACATTGCCTGAGCACATCATACTTATAAATTAATCTTTATCCTTTTTCTTTTGACCGATATAGCCTTGCTTTTTCATCTATCATTATGGAATACGAACTCTTTCACTTTTGCTATGCATATGCAGTATCAACTTTCTTCTATTCTAATTTAAGGCAAATAAATTATATAGGCATATATGGGTATTGAAGGAAACAATGTGAAGAGGATTAATTAGAAGGATATTCTCTTTAAGATATTCGTTTAGGGTGAAATAATAAAATCTATATATTCTTAAACATGCATTGGTAAAACTTGAAAGAAACACTGGTTACGAGTATATGAAGTTAAATATCTGGGAATCTGTAATTTGGACAATATCTCTGATGTATATGGATGTTTCCATTATTAGTTCACTAAAGGCATTGTAGGCCTTCTCAGAATGTGGAATAAAGAACTCTGAGCCCATTTCCTTCCACACTGGTAACTGACATTCTCTATCTCAGTCCTGGTTCATGTCTGCCCCTCTTACCAATAGGCGTTCCCACTCCATAACCTTTGGAGTCAATGAGGCCCCCGATCTGAGTGAGGTTGCAGTTTCTCTGCGTCACATACTCAATGCTGGTGGACTCCATCAGCAGCGCGTAGTCCGTGGTGAGCACTCTCTGGATTCCCTCGTCACTGTTTCTTACCAGGGCGGTCTGCTGCCTGCTGCTCATGAAGGCCCACATCTTCTCGTAGGTGGAGATTTTTGATTTCTGGAGGGAAAGAAAACACACTCACCAGCAGAAGAGGGCTGGAAAAACACGACCTAAGATATTCAAAGTCCCAGTGGTTCAAATAATGATAGGGAGGATACTTTCTCCACAGGTGGGGGAGTCAAGATTGATGGTCTCAAGGCTTCACTTTTGTAGCTGAGAAGAGCCCACTTCACTCACTATTGGACAGCATTTTCCTGGAGGCAGCTATTGCACGGAGACCTTGCTCGATTGATGCAAGACATTGGTGCAAGGTCCTTTTGTTGCTTTCAGTTAGGGAAGAAAGAACATTGGTATCAATAATAGCACTTGCCTAAAGAACTGTGGCCACTTAAGAACAAACCATCATGGCCCACTGGGCTAAGGGATCACTAGCTCACTCCAGGACTCTGTTCATTTAATCCATTTTCCTTTCAGTCACTCAACTCCAGCAGGTATTGTTTTGCTGTTTCCAGGTATGTAAGTTTCAATCCTTGATCTAGCATTCTTCTGCTGGACAGAGCCCTGGGGTAAACCACTGACTTCCTCTGCTTTATTTGTGAGAGAACTGTCATTCACTCTTCTCTTTTCCACAAAACCTAGAAAGTAAATGTTCTTTTCAAATTAAAATTTAGATAAGAAAAATCTTCGGCCGGGCATGGTGGCTCACTTCACACCTGTAGTCCCAGCACTTTGGGAGGCTGAGGCGGGTGGATCACCTAAAGGTCAGGAGTTTGAGACCAGCCTGACCAACATGGTGAAACCCTGTCTCTACTAAAAAAATACAATTAGCCAGGCATCGTGTTGTGCGCCTGTAATCCCAGCTACTCAGGAAGCTGAGGCAGGAGAATCGCTTGAACCCAGGAGGTGAGCCGAGATCATGCCATTGCATTCCAGCCTGGGCAACAACAGTGAGACTCCATCTCAAAAAAAAAAAAAAAGAAAAATCTTCGTACTGTATTTATATGCCTTTTTATGTGCATAATTCTAACTGCAATCATATTTTAGATAATGAGGACTGAATATCTCATTTCGATGTGTTCCATTAATATGTTTGTCTTTTCTCATATTCTTCGGCTTTTTGATAGATTCAGTAATAAATTGTGTATGTTATGTAATATATGCACATATACGTATGTACCACTGCCTCATTATCTTTCTTTGCTAAAGTATACTGCCTAAATTTTTGTATTGCTTAAATATGAATTTTCCATTTTTTTGAATAGTGATCTATGTTTAGACATTTTGCATTTTACTCTGTAATTTCCATACAGTTCGAATTTTTGTTTTGAATTTTTCTTCATTTACATCAGCATTCTCTGCTTACTTCAGAGATAAAAAACGTTACAGGAATTATTGGTATTTTTAAGCTAACCCCAGTTATCACGGTTATATGTAGTACTCACTCACACACATTAGCTAGATCCCTTGACAGGCACAGGATGCATCATCTCAGTAGTGCAGAAAAGCTTAAAACATGGTTTTGGGCCATAAGCAAAAAATGGAATACCTGCAGAGTCAACTCTATCATGGTTATTCATGCTCGAGTGTTCCTGGGGGTCACTCAATTCCAACCTCTATTTAGGACCTGGTTAATACTGTAGGGTTTATGAGTTAGGAGAGGACAGATGGCTTTATTTTAGATTGTTAGGCATTGAAAAGCCCCCTGAGAAAGGTCTTGTGAGACAAATAACAATTCAATAAACAGTACCTTATAGATATTGGTATTTTATGGAACCCATTCTATCATATTGGGCCCCTGTGAGTTACGCGACAGCCCCGGAGATATCTGCAAACTGCAGCTCATGTCTCCATGACAAAGGCGCGTTTTGGGGGTCAGGGTTCTTGCTTCATTTGTTGTGTGATTTCAGCCTTGCAAAGTCTGATAATGCTAAACTTATGGTAAAAGAGCTACTCATGCAAGTGCAGAAAGGTCAGTCTATCTTGTGGCAGCAAATGCACAGCTGGGAAAATTCTTCTTCCATCAGGAAACTACCTTAAGGGAAAATAATTTTCTTTTAAGTATAAAATTTTAAAGTTGTCAGAGACTTTAGAGATCAGCTCATACAAACTGCTACTTTCACAGAGGAGGAAGTTTTGGTACAGGAGGTTTGGAGACTTCAAAAAGTCACAAAGCAAGTTAATACCAGAGCCAGTTCTGGACTCCAGCACTCCCAATATCTAATTCAGTGCTCTTTCCACTGTACCATGCTGATTTGGGGGAGGTGGATGTCTATATTGCCAAAAATGCTTTTGAGGATGATTTTAATCTTATTTGATCTACATGTGAAAATATAGCTTTTATTCATGGACTCATTATTCCCTGAGGCAGGCTGCCAGTTAGTTTCATGTTCATATGAAATAGGAATCAGCCTTCACATAGAAAAATTTCATGAAACATTTATTTTTTTCACCATGTTTAGATTTTATTAAAACGAGTGTTGTAAATTGTTAGAAAACCGAATTTGTGGTTTCTGGAAGTCAAAAACAAAGTCAATGTTCAGTTCATCCATGGTAAATGGAGAAAGTTTGTGGAGTCCTTTAATTCGTCTGGGGAATTGAAGGATACAGGAAAGGATGACACGGTTCAACTCTAAACCTACACTATCTGAAGTGAAGGACTTCATTATTTTCAAGCCATGGCAGACCTAGCTGTGGTCCTCCTGCATGGGATGAATACGTAGGTCTTACCACATGTGGCTCACCCTGTGAGTATTCAGCAGCATGCAAGTGGTCTAATCTCAGGGATGAGAGAGGTCATGAGTTTAGTGCAATCTCAGCATTCAACAGCTGCAACATTTCTAAATGCTTACTCTCAGTATTCTTCTCCTTGTCACAGCTTAGTAACAAAATGTTTCCTGAGCCAGCACGCTCTTCACACTACACTTTGGGTAGCCTGGCTCTACAGAACAGAGATCATGGATTTCAATTCAACAGCATCCACATCTTCCTTCCTAGAGTAGAAGGTTGTTCTAGGCCTGACCTCTCCCAGGGAGCTACAGGGGAAGTCTGATTGGCATGGACACCTTTGATCAGGGAGGGCAGAACTTTCTCTCTGACAGAAAACTGTTACTTGGTAAGTTGAAGTTACAGGAACTGTTACAAATTCCTTTGACCCCTTGCTATTCTCACTAGAGCACAGTAATAGTAAACATAATGGGAGCAAGAAGAGCAGCCTTTTGCTGTTATTTAGAGCTCCCTTTCATCGTTTAAAAAGTTTGCTGTTATGGGGCTCTACTGTATTTCACATTTAGAATTCTAGGCTACTTCAGATGCTAGGGAAATTACAGTTTGCAGGAAGACCCAAAATGTGGCTAAGGAATAACTTTTTTTAATAGGTAGAAGTATCTGTAGACAGCTCCAGCACCTTAAGGTAGAGTGAGTTTTCTTTTTTATTTTTTGAGACGTTGTTTTGCACTTGTTCCCCAGGCTGGATTGCAATGGCACAATCTCGGCTCACTACAACCTCCACCTCAAGGGTTCAAATGTTTCTCCTGCCTCAGCCTCCCGAGTAGCTGGGACTACAGGCACCTGCCACCAGGCCCGGCTAATTTTTTGTATTTTTAGTAGAGACAGGGTTTCACCATGTTGGCCAGGCTGGTCTTGAACTCCTGACCTCAGGTGATTCACCTGCCTCGGCCTCTCAAAGTGCTGGGATTACAGGCGTGAACCACCGCGTCCAGCCGGTATAGTGAATTTTCTATCACTGGGCAACTGCAAGGAGGATGTCATGCTTAGATGAGTTTCACATAAGGAGATGCTTCAATCACCACATTCTACTCTCTAGACCCACCCCTTCCTATCACATAAGCAGGTCCTGAGGTCAGGGACTGCAAATGACACACAGAAGGTCGCAGAGCGTTAGTGAAGGAGATAGCACAGAATTGAGGGCTCTTTCTTCTTTACTGCAGAGTTCTGTCCACCGTCATGCCATGCTCAGTAATGTTTACTTTTTGTTAGATAAAAAAGTGGAATGTTGGGAGTAAATTACATGTATTCCTTTCAGCAGATTTTTTTTCATGGTTAAGTCTCAAATCTTAGTAATTCTTAAAAATAGGATTATACTTCACGAAAAATTATCATACATATTAAAAGACCAGGCAAAGTGTTAGAATGACAGCCGGGGTGTTTCTGTACTTCTAAATCACATATAATCTCAGCCAGCCTCCTAAATCACTCTAAATAATGTATGTTCCAAAAACAGAAATAGTGGTTGCCTCTTATTTCACTAGATATGTCAAAAGTTAATTAGAATATTTGGAATGTCTTCTGAGCTTCTTAGCAAAAGTTGCTAAAACTGAAAAAGCCTCCTTTATTAAATCTGAAATCATCCAGGATTTTTTCTTTCTAATCCTGAGAGGCATCTGTTTAGATAAATTCATTTTATCTCTTTAAATCTGATTATGTGGCTATCCTCATGCTGATGAAACATTGTTGGCAAAGAATAAGCATTTTTCATCTCAAATCTGTTATAAGGGAGTGTTACTGCATCAATGTTTGATGAACATTATTTATTTCTTTTTTCCCCCTATAATACATTCAAGTTAAACACTCACTGGGAAATCGTTTATAATGTCTGCAGGCAGTTAAAAATTACTTACTGAAAATAGTAACAACAACCAACATATGCAGTGTTTATTTACTGTGTACCAAGTGCTATTTTAAGCACTTTGCATATATTGATTAATCGAATCTTCATAGTAATCATATGAAAGATGTACCATTAATATTTCTCTTTTGCATATGAGGAAATAGAACAGCACATGAAGAGATGAGGAAACCAGGATTTGATCCCAAAGAATCTGGTTCCAGGGTCTGTGTTCTTAACCAACAAGGAATGAACTATCTCTTTTAATACACAGAACAGCAAACTCATGGCTTGGCTAATGTTTCAACAGAATTAGCACATTTTCTAAATAAATAATTGAAATAAGTAGTGGTGGGGCCTTTCTAGCCAGTGCTGTTGCAACTCTTGTACTCATCATATAATGTACAGAAACTATTTACCTGACTTTTAATAG